CCAACAGGACTCGAGGGTACGGGTGACCGGCCGCCCCCGGGAGCCTTATGGGCTCGGCTTAACTGGTGTCCATTTTATTGGGATGTGTTGTGCGTGGCGATGTTCTGCTTGCTGCTCCACGTCTGGCTTCATGGCCAGCCCTCCTCCAGGCCAGCCCTTCACCAGGCCAGCCCTCCTCCAGGCCAGCCCTTCACCAGGCCAGCCCTCCTCCAGGCCAGCCCTCCTCCAGGCCAGCCCTTCACCAGGCCAGCCCTCGTCCAGGCCAGCCCTCCTCCAGGCCAGCCCTCGTCCAGGTCAGCCCTTCACCAGGCCAGCCCTTCTCCAGGCCAGCCCTCCTCCAGGCCAGCCCTTCACCAGGCCAGCCCTCGTCCAGGTCAGCCCTTCTCCAGGCCAGTCCTCCTCCAGGCCAGCCCTCCTCCAGGCCAACCCTCCTCCAGGCCAGCCCTCCTCCAGGCCAGCCCTCCTCCAAGCCAACCCTCCTCCAGGCCAGCCCTCCTCCAGGCCAGCCCTTCACCAGGCCAGCCCTCCTCCAGGCCAGCCCTCCTCCAGGCCAGCCCTTCACCAGGCCAGCCCTCGTCCAGGCCAGCCCTTCACCAGGCCAGCCCTCGTCCAGGCCAGCCCTCCTCCAGGCCAGCCCTCCTCCAGGCCAGCCCTCCTCCAGGCCAGCCCTTCACCAGGCCAGCCCTCGTCCAGGCCAGCCCTTCACCAGGCCAGCCCTCGTCCAGGTCAGCCCTTCTCCAGGCCAGTCCTCCTCCAGGCCAGCCCTCCTCCAGGCCAGCCCTTCACCAGGCCAGCCCTCGTCCAGGTCAGCCCTTCACCAGGCCAGCCCTCCTCCAGGCCAGCCCTTCTCCAGGCCAGCCCTGCTCCAGGCCAGCCCTTCTCCAGGCCAGCCCTCCTCCAAGCCAGCCCTTCACCAGGCCAGCCCTCGTCCAGGTCAGCCCTTCACCAGGCCAGCCCTCCTCCAGGCCAGCCCTTCTCCAGGTAACCCCTTTACCAGGCCAGCCCTTCTCCAGGTCACCCCTTCTCCAGGCCAGCCCTTCACCAGGCCAGCCCTCGTCCAGGTCAGCCCTTCACCAGGCCAGCCCTCCTCCAGGCCAGCCCTTCTCCAGGCCAGCCCTCCTCCAAGCCAGCCCTTCACCAGGCCAGCCCTCGTCCAGGTCAGCCCTTCACCAGGCCAGCCCTCCTCCAGGCCAGCCCTTCTCCAGGTAACCCCTTCACCAGGCCAGCCCTTCTCCAGGTCACCCCTTCTCCAGGCCAGCCCTTCACCAGGCCAGCCCTCGTCCAGGTCAGCCCTTCACCAGGCCAGCCCTCCTCCAGGCCAGCCCTTCTCCAGGCCAGCCCTCCTCCAAGCCAGCACTTCACCAGGCCAGCCCTCGTCCAGGTCAGCCATTCACCAGGCCAGCCCTCCTCCAGGCCAGCCCTTCTCCAGGTCACCCCTTCTCCAGGCCATCCCACCTCCAGGCCACCCCTCCTCCAGGTCAGCCCACCTCCAGGCCACCCCTCCTCCAGGCCAGCCCACCTCCAGGCCAGCTCTCCTCCAGGCCAGCCCACCTCCAGGCCAGCCCTCGTCCAGGTCAGCCTTCCTCCTGGCCAGCCCACCTCCAGGCCAGCCCTCCAGGCCATCCCACCTCCTGGCCAGCCCTCCAGGCCATCCCACCTCAAGGCCAGCCCACCTCCAGGCTAGCCCACCTCAAGGCCAGCCCACCTCCAGGCCAGCCCAAATCCAGGCCAGCCCACCTCCAGGCCAGCCCACCTCCAGGCCAGCCCACCTCCAGGCCAGCCCACCTCCAGGCTAGCCCACCTCCAGGCCAGCCCACCTCCAGACCAGCCCCCCCACAAGGCCAGCCCACTACTAAGCTCAGACCACACAAAAACCCGCCCTCCTCACTAAATCAATGGGGGCCAGACCTAATCACCTGCCTCTGGTGGTCTGCCTCACCAGACCATGGCTGGTGAGGCAGACCACAGAACTAGTCTGCCGCCCGTTGTCAAAATTTTAATCAAACACTTGAGACAGGAAGTGTTTCACTCCCAGATGTCTGGAAAAGGTACACGACGTCTCAGCACTTAAAACAGGGCATAGAAAGGAAACACTGAACTACAGAACAGTGGCACTGACAGTGACTGACAAAACTGATTGAGTTTTATGGCAAGGATACAAAAAAAAAAGACAAGAAAAGAAAGGCTGGGTAGACTGTATTTTTTAAGACTGTCAAATGGCATTTGACACAGTTCCCCCCATGTAAGAATGCTGTACAGGATGGAGAACCAGGTTGGGGTAACTGGAACAGCAGTGGACTGGGTAACGGAGTACCTGAAGGACAGAAAACAAAGAGTCACAGTCAGAGAGGAGGCTTCTAGCTGGGGGAATGTAACAAATGGTGCCCTATAAAGCTCTGTCCTGGGACCGCTGCTGTTCCTAATTTATGTGAACGACCTACCTGAGGGCGTGAGCTCTGACATGTCAATGTTTGCAGATGATAGAAAGTTTATGAGCAACGAGGAAACATATGAGGACTGCATAAAGTTACAGGAAGACCTTGACAAACTTCATTAGTTTACAGACAAATGGCTTCTGGAATTCAATCCCAATAAGTGTAAGATAACGGGGAAGGGAACGGGAGAAAGGAGACCAGACGACATCTACACCATGCGGGGAAGGCAGCTACAAGAATCAGAAAGAGAGAAGCATCTGGGAGTGGAAATAATTCCAACACTCTCACTGGAGATGAAGTGTCGGATGTCGGAACAGGCTAACATCGGCAGCATGCGGGACGTTGACAAATATAAGAACATCGTTTAGGAACCTGAACCAGGACTCCTTCAAGACACTTTACACAACATTTCTTAGAACAATACTGGACCACGCATCACTGGTATGGAATCTGCACCTTGTGAAACAAAGCCAAAGTTACCAATATACAAAGGATTGCAACGAGACTGGTGCCAGAGCAAAGAGGTCTAAGCTACAAAGATAGGCTAATGGAACTAAATCTCACAACCCTAGAGGATAGTAAGCTTTAACAGAGTGGATATGATCACAACATACAAGGTAATGATTGTTAATTGATAAAGTAGACATGGATTGCCTCTTCAGATTGAGAGAAAGCAAGGTGAGAGGACACAGGTGGAAGAACGAAACGCAGATCACCCGAAGGAACATAAGGAAGTACTTGTACTTTGTACGGGAAGTTAACAAGCGGAATGTTCTACCACATGAATGTTCTACCACATGAATGTTCTACCACATGAATGTTCTACCACATGAATGTTCTACCACATGAATGTTCTACCACATGAATGTTCTACCACACGAAGTTGAGGAAGTCACCTCCATCCTAAACTTTAAGGCCTGATTCGACTAAGATTTTGAAAGTCAGAGTAGTTAGGCTAAACGTCAGCGGTACTTACCTTTCAGCAGACACTTACAGGTAAGTACAGATAGGTGGTTACCTCCAGCAGCTTCTGTTACCTCCAGCAGCTTCTGTTACCTCCAGCAGCCTCTGTTACCTCCAGCAGCCTCTGTTACCTCCAGCAGCTTCTGTTACCTCCAGCAGCTTCTGTTACCTCCAGCAGCCTCTGTTACCTCCAGCAGCCTCTGTTACCTCCGGCAGCCTCTGTTACCTCCAGCAGCTTCTGTTACCTCCAGCAGCCTCTGTTACCTCCAGCAGCTTCTGTTACCTCCAGCAGCCTCTGTTACCTCCAGCAGCCTCTGTTACCTCCAGCAGCTTCTGTTACCTCCAGCAGCCTCTGTTACCTCCAGCAGCCTCTGTTACCTCCGGCAGCCTCTGTTACCTCCGGCAGCCTCTGTTACCTCCGGCAGCCTCTGTTACCTCCGGCAGCCTCTGTTACCTCCAGCAGCCTCTGTTACCTCCAGCATCCTCTGTTACCTCCAGCAGCCTCTGTTACCTCCAGCAGCCTCTGTTACCTCCAGCAGCCTCTGTTACCTCCAGCAGCCTCTGTTACCTCCGGCAGCCTCTGTTACCTCCGGCAGCCTCTGTTACCTCCGGCAGCCTCTGTTACCTCCAGCAGCCTCTATTACCTCCAGAAGCTTCTGTTACCTCCAGCAGCCTCTGTTACCACCAGCAGCCTCTGTTACCTCCAGCAGCTTCTGTTACCTCCAGCAGCTTCTGTTACCTCCAGCAGCCTCTGTTACCTCCAGCAGCTTCTGTTACCTCCAGCAGCTTCTGTTACCTCCAGCAGCCTCTGTTACCTCCAGCAGCTTCTGTTACCTCCAGCAGCTTCTGTTACCTCCAGCAGCCTCTGTTACCTCCAGCAACCTCTGTTACCTCCAGCAGCCTCTGTTACCTCCAGCAGCTTCTGTTACCTCCAGCAGCTTCTGTTACCTCCAGCAGCTTCTGTTACCTCCAGCAGCTTCTGTTACCTCCAGCAGCCTCTGTTACCTCCAGCAGACTCTTTTACCTCCAGCAGACTCTGCTACCTCCAGCAGACTCTGTTACCTCCGGCAGCCATTTATGAATTGGCTGGAAGTCCCATCACACTTAATTTAAATTCCTTTCTATTGCAATTCTGTGCAAAACTTCTGATCATTCCCCTGGAAACACAAACCGAAACTGTCTCTATTTTCCGCTTGTTACAACTTGTAATAAAGTTGTTACATCTTGGCTTAACGTGTTTATGAAGTATTAGAACGTTGTTACAACTTGCTATGTTGGTTGTTATAACTGGTTAGGAAGTGTTAAACCTTGTTAGAACGTTGTACCAACGTTGTAGTTTCGGTGTGTGTTTGGCGGGTCTGCATTCCACTGCACAGCTTGCAATTGGTTTTCCTTCATATTATATGTTCTTGACGGAGGATTATGTGTGATAATGTTCTCCTAAAGGATTTGTTTATTCGGGAAGTAATTCATAAGCGATGGTGGGCATATGCAAATTTCCATCAGATGATTTTGTAGCAATATTAAAGACAAACTAGTCAAGGTTAATTAGTTGAAGTTAATTTACATCTTGAAATTTCACTATTTAATTTTAATAAATTATAGAAATGAGGTTATACGGATGTGTTTGTGTTCTATTAAGAGGTGAAAGGGAACTATCATGAGTTTTATTAAGATTCAGGATATTATTTAATTTGCATATCCTGCTTTGCTTGTTGTAGTTTTTTTAAATGTATGTTCAAATATGTTCACTATGTTCAAATATGTTCACTATGTTCAAATATGTTCACTATGTTCAAATATGTACACTATGTTCAAATATGTTCACTATGTTCAAATATGTTCACTATGTTCAAATATGTACACTATGTTCAAATATGTTCACTATGTTCAAATAACACAGCAGATGGAACTCTGATTTTTTTAGGTTACTTGTGTGCCGTGAGAGATATTGAACGAATTCTTTGCGCCTGGATAAAGTCGCTATTACGCTTCTTTCTTATAGTATATTTTCCTGTTGAAACTTTTCATTTTATATTAAATTAATACTATTTTGATTGCATATTAACCACAGGAGTGTTAGGGAGCTGGTGCTGTTGACTGTAACTTACACAACTTTAACCACAGGAGTGTTGTGGAGCTGGTGCTGTTGACTGTAACTTACACAACTTTAACCACATGAGTGTTAGGGAGTTGGTGCTGTTGACTGTAACTTACACAACTTTAACCACAGGAGTGTTAGGGAGCTGGTGCTGTTGACTGTAACTTACACAACTTTAACCACAGGAGTGTTAGGGAGCTGGTGCTGTTGACTGTAACTTACACAACTTTAACCACAGGAGTGTTAGGGAGCTGGTGCTGTTGACTGTAACATACACAACTTTAACCACAGGAGTGTTAGGGAGCTGGTGCTGTTGACTGTAACTTACACAACTTTAACCACATGAGTGTTAGGGAGTTGGTGCTGTTGACTGTAACTTACACAACTTTAACCACAGGAGTGTTAGGGAGCTGGTGCTGTTGACTGTAACTTACACAACTTTAACCACAGGAGTGTTAGGGAGCTGGTGCTGTTGACTGTAACTTACACAACTTTAACCACAGGAGTGTTAGGGAGCTGGTGCTGTTGACTGTAACTTACACAACTTTAACCACAGGAGTGTTGAGTCTTTACCAGAGAGCGCCAAATATGTTTGTGATTCTGATAATGATTTAAAATGCTGTCTCTGGGAATGCACCTGACGTCAGCTAAGCGTTTTACTGAGAGCTGATGTCAGGACTCCAAGAACGATAGCCAGATGAGATCAGGACTTGTATTTGCTTTCCTTGAAACTGACCGCTGGGGTTAGGACTTCTATCAGCTCACTGCAAGACTTACTTCTGACTATCTACTTTAAGATAAGCCGTGCGTGGGAAGCTTGATTAAGTCCATTTTAGTGTACAACCAATGGTTCGGACTTGACGTTTGAGATATAAGTCCAAGCTATCAAAGGCAATAGCGGCGAGAGAACAAAATAATTAGAAAACACGTTCTAGAATGAGAACGCGAGCTGTGTTAAACCAAACCAAATAAGAAACAATCGGAAGAAAAAATAAGAAAATGAATAAAATAACAGACGAGTGAATAAAACAGAAAACAATTTTTAAATGAAACTAACGCACGAACAAAACAATAAAAAAAACGAAATATGAACCACCAAAAAAAAACGAAATTAAAGAAAAATACAATCTTGCAAATCCCGAGATTTTTTTGGCTCGGGCATAAAAAAGAAATTAACAATAAACTTCAGGTTAAGAGAGACAAAACTTAGAAATATAGGGAGAGAAATCTGAACACGTTCGCTGAAGAAAACGATCGTCGGCCGTTGATTTCCATTACTAGCGAACGCTCCCGAGCG